ATTTAAAATAATACAAGGCAAAATGGGGAATTAAGCTTTGCATTATGAGAGGTACCATTTATATGAAAAATACTATAGATTAACATAGAAATAGATTTCTATAGTTACTTAAAAATGATAGAAGCATTTCTTTTTATATTTACTTGAACAATTTAGCAAAGTGAGTCTTTGTTTTTAATACTAAATAGCTTAGCCCTTAGCTTTCCTATTTTATTATTTATAAAGACTCACATTATTACTTTTAAACAAGTTAATATATTTATGAAATAAAATGACTTAAAACATTTCTGTTATATAATTTTACAAAATTTAAGATAGAGTACAATTTCACAAAAATGTAAGAATAGATATATTTCTTACATAAAAAATGTCATTACTTAATTGATCAAAAGTAAAGTTTTGATTATTGCTTCAAATAGTTTTACATTTATCATTTATAAGTACAAAGAAAATTACATTATAACATAAAAACTATATTATGTTGTACATACCTGGAAATGACGAAGACAGTATTTCAATTAAAAACAAATTTATTAAGTCCAAAGTATTGCATAAGAATCATACTTTGGCCTCCAAAATTTCCTTATTTTAAAACTTGTCTTCAATTCTGGTATAACATACGATTGGTTCTTTCGGAACCCGGTTTTTGATGATTGGTCCAGCAATCAAGATTGTCACAAAGTTAAGAGTGGGAGGTGCCATTTGGACTGAGAAATCTCTCAGCTTTGGTGTTTTTGTAGTAATTTTATGTTAATTCTAAACAAGGTGATAACCTATCAGCTTATTAAAAGCCAACAAGTTAACACAATGACAAACATCCTTTACAGAACAAAAGGTGCTTATGGAAGCCGTTTGCCAAAACTAACAATTGCAAATGTTTAGAATTCTAAAGCTTATTTAAGAAAATTTATACTTAAATACAACCAAATAACATTTTTTGGAACAAAGTTCAAAAAGCAAAAATAAAACTGAAATATTTAAAATCTATGTTTAAAGACAAAAATTTTGATATTAATTTTAACTATTTAAGTTAAAATTTAACAAAATGTACTTTTAAAACATTTTACCTATTTATATTTTTATGATTATTAATTATGATGTATTACATAATTTTATATAACAAAAAAGGCACATCATAATAATCGCTTTAGTCCGGTGTCCGTAAACTTTTACTTTAAATGACATCTCCTCATTAACCGCTGAGCAAATTTCATCCAAACTTCTCAGGAATGTTCCTTTGGAGGTCACCTTTAAAAATTGTTCAAAAAATTTAATTCCATGCAGAACTCTGGTTGCCATGGCAACCGATAGAAAAAACTTAAAATATCTTTTTTTAAAAAACCCAAAAGGTAGAGCTTAGATATTTGGCATGAAACATTTTCTAGTGAGTGTCTATCAAGTTTGTTCAAATAAAAACCCTGGGGTCAAAATTGGCCCCGCCCGGGGGTCATTGATTTTCCCTATATGCATATAGTAAAAACTTAAAAATCTTCTTTTAAAGAACCCAAAAAGCTAGAGCTAAGATATTTAGCATGAAATATCTTCTAATGGGTGTCTACCAAGTTTGTTCAAATAAAAGCCCTGGGTCAAAATTGGCCCCGCCCAAGGGGGTCATTGATTTTCCCTATATGCATATATAGTAAAAACTTATGAAATCTTCTTTTAAAGAACCCAAAGAGCTAGAGCTAAGATATTTAGCATGAAACATCTTCTAATGAGTGTCTATCAAGTTTGTTCAAATAAAGCCCTGGGGTCAAATTGGCCCCGCCCCAGGGGTCATTGATTTTCCCTATATGCATATAGTAAAAACTTATAAAATTCTTCTTTTAAAGAACCCAAAGAGCTAGAGCTTAGATATTTAGCATGAAACATGTTCTACCAAATTTGTTCAAATAAGAGCCCTGGGGTCAAAATTTGCCCTGCCCGGGGGGTCATTGATTTTCCTTATATGTGTAAAGCAAAAACTTTAAAAAAAAGATCTTCTTTAAAAAAAACAACAAATAGCTAGAATTTTGTTACTAAGCATGAAACATCTTTTTAGAGAGTGTCTACAAAGTTTGTTCATATAAAAGCCCTTGGGTCAAAATTGGCCTGGCCCCGGTGGTCATTGATTTTATCTATGTGTATAGCAAAAACTTAAAAAAACTTCTTTAAAAAAAACCAAATATCTTCCAGTTAGTGTCTTCAAAGTTTGTTCAAATAAAAGCCCTAGGGTCAAAATTGGCCCTGCCCCGGGGGACATTGATTTTCCTTATATGTGTACAGCAAAAACTTAGAAATCTGATTTAAAAAAAAAACCAAATAGCTTCGAGTTTAGATATTAAGCATGAAACATCTTGTAGATCTAGTGAGTGTCAAATGGGGTCAAAACTGGCCCCGCCCCAGGGGTGTCATTGCTTTTAACTATATGTGTATAGTTAAATCTTAAAAAATATTTTTTTAAAAAACTCAACGAGCCAAACCTTAGATGTTTACCATGAAATATCTTCTAATGGGTGTCTACCAAGTTTGTTCAAAGAAAAGCCCTGGGGTTTAAACTGGCCCCGCTCCGGGGGGCCTATATACAGGTGAGCGACTTCAGGGCCATGATGGCCGTGAGGCTCTTCTTTGTAATTAATATCAAGCTTTCACAAGGTCATATTTGTTTTCAATATTGATGAGAATATGTATCATTACTCTACTTTGGTAAATATTTATCATTTGACAGGTAAAAAGTGCTTGTAAATCGGAATTTACACCGCGTAAAATCGAACCGTACGCGCATCACCTCAGTGCATGTTGTTTACAACGTGGGGTACCCAACGGGGAAATTTAGTGTGTATATTACCCGTCTGGCTCGTCAATATCAATTTCTTTCGGGTGATCAATATCCAATCAAAAAGGCGGAAAAATCTGGAAGGGAAATAAACCCCCCTTCCTAGCCCTTGACTCACATTATTGGCAATTTTGTTATAGAAACTTGCCAAAAATGGGTACATGGAAGTGTTCATTTATGGAAAAAATAAAAATAATGACGACCTTGTGATAAATAGTTTTCAATAAGCGGAAACCATTCTGACATTTAAGACCCCTCTGACCATGACCTTTCAACTAATGACCCCAAAAGCAATAAGGGTCATCTGCTTGATATGACCAATCACTATGTGAAATATGAAGACTTTGTGATAATTATCTTTTAAGATTATTATTACGGAATGAGCTGAAATCATACTACCATTCAGGCCCCTGAGACCTCAAAATTGACCTTTGACCTGGTCATCCCAAAATCAATAGGGGTCATCTACTAGTTATGACCAATCAATATGTGAAATATAAAGACTTTGTGATAAAAAAGTAACAAAGATAATATGTGGAAATCATACTACCATTCAAGGCCCCTGTGTCCTTGACCTTTGATCTAGTAACCCAAAAATCAATAGGGGTAATCTACTAGTTATGACCAATCGATATGTTAAATATGAAGACATTTTGATGAATTGTAACCAAGATAATGAGTGGAAACTATTCTGACTTTTAAGGCCCCTTAGACCTTGACCTTTGACCTAGTGACCCCAAAATCAAGAGGGGACATCTACTAGTTATGACCAAACACTATGTGAAATATGAAGACTTTGTGATAAATACTTTTCAAGATAATCAGCAGAAACTATTCTGACATTTAAGGGCCCCGTGACCTTGAACTTTGACCTAGTGACCCCAAAATCAATAGGGGCCATCTACTAGTTATGGTCATTCAATATGTGAAATTAGAAGACTGTGATGAATTGTAACCAAGATGATGAGCGGAAACCATTCTGATATTTAAGGCCCCTGTGACCTTGACCTTTGATCTAGTGACCCCAAAATCAAGAGGGGTCATGCACTATTTATGACTAATCACCATGTGAAATAAAAAAAACTTCATGATGAATACTTTTCATGATAATCAGCGGAAACCATTCTGACATTTAATGCTCCTGTGACCTTGACCTTTAACCTAGTGACCCCAATATCAATTGGAGTCATAATCAATATGTGAAATAAGAAGACTTTGTGATGAATTGTAACAAAGATAATGAGCGGGAACCATTATGACATTTAAGGCCCCTGTGACCTTGACCTTTGACCTAGTAACCCCAAAATCAATAGGGGTCATCTTCTTTCAATCACTTGCGCATATTACGTGTGTTTCCGTTTGAATGATTTTTGCCTAGTTATGGCCCTTGAAATAATAAAATTTGTCCAGACTACTCCTCATATACTATATTAATGCAAATTCAATGATACTTTACAGGATTAATTACATGTAGACCAGTACTTTTGCATAATATACAGTTTTTCGCTTGAATGATTTTTGGCTGAGTTATTGCCTTTGAATAAAAAGGGTCTTTTTTGTGTTGTCTGGACTACTCGATCCTCAGAAACTGCTGGTGCAATTTCATCAAAATTTTAGGGACCATGTCTAGTTGTGCATCTCATCAACATTTTCGGTTCATTGGTTTTTGCCCTTTCATGATTTTAATTTTGAAATTTGTCTGGAATACTCCTGTTATACCACTAATGCAATTTCAATGAAACTTTACAAGATTGATCGATAGCTCAAATTTTACCAACTGGGTTACTGACACATTTTGAACAGCTAGTTACCCATGCAGATCATCAATGAACACATAGTCATTGGCCGTATACATGTAATTTGTAAATCAGCCTCAGATGCCAAAGTCCATTGATAAGACATTATAGTTTGGTTGTGAGTTTGTCAATTAAATCAAAGACATAAAAGGACAATTTTTATTATGTTTATTTATTTTTTTTGCCTGGCACGCAGCTTATTTGCGGTTTGTAACGTGAACGGGACCGTAATCTGTTCTGAAAGTTTAAACCAATCCACATAAGATTTATGAAAGATATTGCCCAATCAATCGCTGCGTTACAGACGGGTTTAGAAGATCATCGAGATAGTGAGACGAAGTAATGTCATGTGAATTCTGATAAATACAAATGTTTGTTCACCAAAGAAAATGCCAACTTTAGAAGAATTAAGTAAACAATGTATATCTGTTTGTCAAGTTCCTGTCGATGTTTCACGAGAGTTCATAGTAGAACACATTAAACGGCAGTTTCAGGGAGGCGGGATTGTGGACACTGACAGAGTCGACGGAATCGAAAGTGGCCATCATTTAACTCGACTAGTTCTTCTTTGTACAGCATTGGAAGGTTTTACTTTATGATACATTTTCTTTATTTTATTTTATTAATTTCTGCAAAAATAATTGTTTTGAAAACATGTAATTACTGTTGAATTTTATGCTTAAATTATTTTACTTTCGATTTCGAAAACGAAAGTAGATTTTTTTCCGGAAAATTGATGTAAATTTCGGAAATTTGGGTGAGTGATAGGAAAAGAAAAACAAAAGTAAACTTTTTATTTTTATATGTTAAATGATTAAACGTCTTTTGGATAACTTGTATTTCTTGTATCCCAGCACAAGTAGTATTTTTAAACACTTTATTTTCAGGAAGTGAAAGTTTTTCATTTTCTTCCTGGTATATACAATGATAAGACATTTTGTTAGAGGAAAACTTATTGTTCATTATTGTCATAAAATAACATTTAAAGATACAGGTTTGACAATATGGTATACCCCCTCCGTGGTCAAGGGGTTAGAATCAATGACTTCTAATCCAGTTACCTTTCTGGCGTGGTTTCGATCACCGGGAGATGTTTTGGCAGTCTGTGCAAAAGTCCGTCGGTCCTGGCTGAGAAAAAATCATGCCGTCCGAGAAAAATTTCCTTTCCGTCAGTCCTCATGTCCGAATAAAATTTCAAAAAGTTAAAAATATCAATGACCTGATTGGTAACAAGTTCCCGGTGATGCAAAGAATTTATTAAAGAAGATATTGACCAACCTTAGATCTATTTTGTTCATGTCAAATAAATACCAGTCAACTCTGTCTTCAAAAAGTTTCATCAACAACGGTAACTTCTGCCGTAAATTACAAATTGAAAATGTTGTTTTAGGATGGCTGTTGAAATAGCTGATGAGTAACAAACTCAAAATAATAAAAAAAAATTTAATATAATATAATCAAAATCAACAACAAGTAGAATTGTGAATGTTTCTGCAGGAAACAGACAAAAATTTCAGTGGTTCTAACAATTAGATTCTCCTATTTTTTTCTTGGTAAATAAAATAGATGTTTTGGCATGACCCTAAAAAATTTCAAGTGACCCCCTAAAATCTGATGCAGGGGGTCAGAAATGACCCCCAAAAAATTTGAGCTGGAAGAAACTGACTTGTATATATATTTACATGTTTTTCAATCATTTGCTTTTAAAAATGTATGTGCTTAAGTTATATTTTGCATAATTTATATAATGCATTTTGTATTATATTTAGACAGATAAAAAGATTGATATTCAGTGATAATTGTAAAAAAAAATAAAATTACTATTATTAAAACAGATAGTTATACATTTACATGTTCTTTTTTGAGAATATTTTCTAGTAATTGCAGTTCAGCCAACATAAATAACAAGACTATTAAATTATTCATACCCCACTTAAAAGTGTCTATTTTCATCTCTTTTTTTTTTTTTTTTTTTTATTCCCCGAAAAGATATATATACTCAACCGAAAAAGAAACCTAACAATATGTTATTTATTAAATTTCTGAACATATGATCGGGATAGAGTCAAACCAAAGATGGGACATTAAACTGCAATGTCTTCCTGAAGAACTTGTGCAATATGATTTATCTAGGGCATGCATCAAAATGTTAAATGACGTGGAATGTAAGGTAGGGGCAAAACTGATTTTGGCATATCATTAGGTTGCTTTTCAGTGGTGATAACTTGAAATTTCTTGCGAGTTTGTCTAATAATCCAAGTCCTAATGAACCCTAGTACCTGTTATGACCACCTCTGGCTCTAATGAGTGCTTCAATACATCTTCTTATAGAGTTTACGTATTGTTGTACCAGCTGATTAGAGAGGTTGTCCTCTCCCTGACAAGGGTATTTGCTAGTTCATTTACAGTGCGAGGTGCATGACGACAAACACGTCCCCTCAGTTCATCCCAAGAGAATTTGCTGGCCAATGCATGACGTTTACGTTAGCCGCTGCAAGGCGAGCTTGCGTGATCCTTGCAACATGCGGGCGTGCATTGTTCTGCTGAAACACAACTGGGGCATTCCTTTGCATGAAAGGAATGGCTTCTGCCTTCAAAACTTCATTTATATACCTATATATATTTAAGTTGCCTCGAATGACTTAAGAGTCTAGTCTTTTGTCCCCCTATAATACCACCCCAAACCATAACTCCCCCACCCCCGAAACAATCATGTTCTCTGACACAAGCTAGAGTAAATCTTTCACCCTGTCTACGATAGACACGTTGAAGATCATCAGCGTTACTCAAGTTGAATTTGGATTCATCTGAAAACAAGACTCTTTTCCAGTCTCGTCTACGCCAACGACGATGTTAATGCTCCAAGCGTAAATGTGCCTGCTGTTGGCTAGTTGCTCTTGGTTTACCTGACCTAGGACAATCATGCACATCACCTGTTAGCCTAAAGCGCCTGACATGCTCATGCACTGCGTTGCGACAACAGTTAAATGTCCTGCTAACGCCAAGGGCAGATACGCCAGTTTGAAGCATACGGACAGCCTGATTTCTTTCGGTCTCTGATAAACTTGGCATTTTGGTACCATCAAATGTCAATGGTGATTTAAACTGTGTAATCACTTGGTGAATGTATAGCACTTTTGTTCACATTCTATTGCGTTCCATTTATTGAGCACGGGGTGTCACATGCGAAAGTGGCTATTTGAAAATTTCCCAATTTCGGTTAGTATCAAGCTAGCTAGAGTTTACACACATATTGTGTATCGAAAATCTACGGATATGAGATAAATATGTTTTTATTAGATTGGATTTTGTATTTGTAACATGATATACAATATGTCAGCAACAAAATTAATGCTGAAGTTTTGGATATTCTATTATTCACTGCAAATGATTATAGCTGGTATATGAGGTCAGCATTGCTTTCTTGACCCCCATATTTCAACGTCAACATTCTTGAAATAGACATTAAAATATTACCATTTACGGAGGTTGAGATAAATTTATTTACTTAATTTTAAAAGAAACATGCACCTATTGTTGATAAAAAAGTGACTGACAACCACTGAACATAGAAAATACTAAATTAAGCATTTTCGGGGCCGTCCGGGTTTGGTGGTTGTCAGGTTTTGGTGGTCCCCAACCAGTAGTGAGGTAACTTTTTCATGTCATATGAGATATTGTTATCATTGTTTCATTGTAGTGTAATCAACATACTCAGAAAAATCTCTTTTTATCAGAAAAGTAGCACGTAGATAAACAATGATGAAATTAGAAACTAGATCATGGTTTCCCAAAAAACTATTTTTAGAAATATTATTCAGGTGTCATATTGATAAGTTTTGTTATTGCATCTGCTTTTAATACAGCTGTCACAGTTTTGCAGAGTTATTACAAATACTCTAAGGTTTATAATTATTTTTCAAGGAAGTGGAGCCTCATAGAATATTTCAAACAAGACCAGTTTGGTATTTTCCTGAAATCTAAAAATAGTAAATTTTGTGGTGAAATCAAATAAGGAAACCCAATAAAATTCTATTTTTATATCATGGCTAATTTTTTTTTTTAATAATGTAAAAGGAGAACAAAGCTTTTGATTTCTTTATAGAGCAAACCAATCCATAATTTTCATATGACTAATTAATTTTAAATCAAATATTCATTTGCTGAACAAAAAAATATTCTTATTAAACAGATGTTGATCACATGTGTAAAGAAGTGAAAGAGGAAGAAATAGACCTTGAAGGAAAAAGATTTACTGTGAAATATCAGACATCTGTTGCATGTGAACTGCCAGAGAGGTGGGAACATTATCAGGTAAATTCCTTTGAAATATCAGTTGTACCTGCGTCCAAGCTTGTCTCTAAATAATTGCCTATTTAATAATGATGCCCACTGCTGCTGCAGTTACTAATAGATATCATATGGTAAAGATAATGTAGACCACCTATCCAAGACAACCTGTGATTCCATTTGTTAAGGTCTCAGTAATAGCTTTAAGTGTATTGTAACTAGTATCTTAAGGGTTTATCTTCTCAGAATTTGTGTAATTAACTTGCCCTACATTATATTGAAAAACTGTCTGTACTTTATTTAAGGGGCTTTAATATCAAACAGTAGATACATAAAAATTATGTAATTATGACTGGTACATTAACCTTTTCCGTACTTTTAAGGGGCTATAATCATCACCTTAATGCAATAACTGTTTAACTCCTATTCAATTTAGAAGACTTAACCTAGGGTGATATAATATTGAACAGTCCACAGTAGATTAACTAGGGCTGTCATTCAATATGGCAATATTGATATGTCATCGATATCCATCATCCGATACAATATCGATTATGACGATACACACTTTCAAATATCCCTACAATCTAAAATTTATGTATTTCTTGTTAACAACTTTAACTCCATTTTCAAATGTCAGTGACAAAAAAAACAACAACAACAACAACACAACTCTTACTTTTGTTAGTTTGTAGTATTTGCAATGTCTGTGTCTATACAAGCATGCATAACACCATGATCCCAATTTATAACACATATTTAAATGTTTCTCATTGTTTCTACTGTCAGAGTTGATATATCGATATATATCATCAATATTTGTCTGTTGATATATCAATACATCGATTCCATCAATGACAGCCATAAGTTTAACACTTTCAATTCAATACTTGTATAGATTAAAACTGTGTCATCTACTAGAAATTGTGAGGTAATTGATCTTTCTTGTTGATCACGGGGGGGGGGGGGGGGGGGGTGGGGGGGAAAAACATAATATTCTTCTACTTTTTTATTTATATTACTATGAGCAAACAAATAATCAGAGTTTCTAAGTATTATTATGGGATAATTTGCTTGTTCTGAACTTCACTGGCTATGACCCCAGCTGAATAAAGGCTGTTTTTCATATATCCTAAAATAGGTATATTTCCCCTAAAAATGCAGTGATCTTTCTGTATCAGTTAATTAAGGGATTTTAAATTGTGGTTTCTTTTAATCTCTAACATTGAATATCATTTGACATACTGAAAACATATGGAAAAAATTCAGCTTTCTGAGCTTTGTATAAAAACAAATTTAAGTTGATCAATAACTAGATAATAGTACATTGTGAAGTTCTATTTGTGATATTGAACAGCATATAAAATACAAATCTATATATAGAAACATAGCATAGACACTGATTAAGCTATAAGTTAACCTTGATAAAATCTATGATCAATAAATCCAATCTTATGATTCAGTTATTAGCATTTTTCTTTTGTCAAATTTTGATGTTATAAAAAAAAAGTATAAAAAAAATCTGGCAATTCAGACTTGAGAGATCCATGGAGAAAGGCTTTTAAAACTCAAATGAAGACTATGATGGTCCTAGGAGTCCTAATAAGGAATTATAAAAAACAATCAGGCCTTTATAAACTCCTAATTACAAAGGACTAAGTTATCTCATAGTTAGCACTAAGAAACTCCAAATTTGTCTTAAAACTACTGATTAGGGTATAATCACTTCATATTTGGGCTAATTAACTCAAAATTACAACTTGAAAAAACTATCAATTTTAATAGATTAAATCTAATTAACATCACAATATCCAGTAAATGATACAGTTGGTTTCAATACAATGAATATGTGTCCAACTGGTCCAACTCTATACTTTGGGTAAAGGCTACTAATTATTGTAGCATCTAAGAGATGATGACCCAGAATATGTTTATTGTATACAACTAGTAGTTTGTGTAATCTAAACAGGCTGTGCATTGCTAGGTGTAGAATTTTTATACTGAAATCCCTTACATTATTACAAAAAATGTAATAAAATATTTTTCTTTGGATATTTAAAAGTCTAGTGATGTAAACATTATTATTGTATGTAGTTGGAAAACTGTTGTTTGTAATTCATATAGGTATTTTATATGCAGATTTTATTGATCATTTGTCATTAATTACAGTTTTGAATGTGTGTACATTACATGTACATGTACATCTATATTTAGATACAAGAACAAGGTAGTAAGCAAGACCCACAGCATACAGGAGGCCCAGAACCACCAAAATTACAACAGATACCAGTACCAGGTCATCAAAATTCACAACAGTATGCTTGGCCTTCTGGCCCCTATGGAGCAGTGTCAGGATTTTATCATAATATTCCTGGTAGTGGGGATCCAAATATGAATCAAGGTGGTATGCAGGGTCATTTTCCAGGTCAACAACCTATGCCTGGTAATGAGCAACAGCAAGGTCATGGTCCACAACAAGGTCATGCACCACATGGTCCTCAACAAGGTCATGCACCACATCCTGGTCAAGGTCATGATCCACTGAGAGGTCAAGGTCATGGTCAAGGGATGAGATTTCCATTTGGACCTGGTGGACCTGGACAGATGCCTCATGGTTTTCCTCCTGGGTATCCAATGTTTCGCATGCCAACTCCGGATCAAAATAATCCCAAGGTGGACATAATATGCCTTTTATGCCAGGATTCCTATGATGTTTGACCCTCAGTCAGGACAGTATTTCCAAGCTCCAGGATTTCCAGGAATGCAACTGCCTCCAGAATCACATAGACATTCACCAGGAAATCAGCGCGGACCTCCTCCACCATACAATGGACAACAATCAACAGAGGTCAAGTCACCCAGAGGTGACCATAATGATGGTAAATGATTTTGATATTTTCAGCACTTTTATCTTGTTATTTGAGTTTCATCTTAAAATCATTTAAAGAAAGTAATATTTTGCTTGAAGTTGACAATTTTGGTAAAATAACTAAAGTAAAGCAACTTGAGTATGATGACAGGTTGCCAATGTATTTTCAATTCTGGCCTTTCAAGTACCAACTGGGCTTTTGGATAAAACATGATCACAATGTACATGTATAACATTCAATAATTCTATGTAGAAGAAAATGTGAATGTTCTGTTGAATTTATTTAAATTTCTTCCAGGTGAAGGAAGTCAGGCTGTAGCAGACCAGGATTTTGAGTATGAAAAAATTCAGGCTAAACGTAACAGAGAACAACAGTCCATGAATAATGAAGGTGACTACAAGATATTTTTTCTAAAATATGTTTCATAATGCTGATCTAATATCTAATTGACACGCCCTGCATTGAATTTAGTAATACTGTAGGAATTTTAACATCACAATACTTAAAGACTTAGGTCTACTTTGAATTATGTACATTGTTTGCTCTGATCATTTTTGGTTGACCTGTGTACGGTAATGTAAATTTGTATGTTAAGGGGACTCCACTGAGGTTATTTTACTTTTCATTAAATAAATGTTTTATTTGATGTAGGTCTAGACCAAAAACAGTTGTGCAAAATTTCAGATCATTTGCTCACTCCATTTTTCAAAATAATAATTCAAATTGTTAAAAATGACCCTAAATCAGGCTAAGAAAAAGTTCTAGTACAGTCCGTCAGTCCACAGTCCCTGGGGACCATTGTGTGCTAGAAAGGTCCATAGATAAATGTTATATCAATATAAAACTATATGTTTGAAGTTTTCAAAAAGTTATGCTACATATGTGAAATCATGGTATGTTTTGAGAAATCCAAGATGGCCTCCAAGATTGCACAACAATATGATTTTCAATATATATCTAATTATATTTCTTAACTAACTTGGCATATCTTTCTGTTTTAAGTGCCCCAGCTGATTTATGTAATAAATTCAAATTTGATTATTTTAAACCTCAATGCCCTTTAATGCCATTCATTGAAAATAATGATTCTTTATTATTTGTTTCCCTAGGTTTTTTGCTCACTTAAATAATGATTAACTGGACAAATGCCGTTTTGGTTTAAGAGTGCCGCTTATTAACATGTTAGTTTGACCTAATTTGATTTACATCATTGACAAAATTTTGATAGCTGTGTGCAGTTTGATTATGAAAATGCAAAATTAAAGATAAAATAAATAAATGAATTAACTCCTATAAATAAATGACTGTCTATATTAAAACAGTTTGCCAGAAAATTAAGTTCTGCTGTACCCTACATTACCATATTCTAATTGAATTTATTACATGTATTTCAGAAGAGGAACCAGCAGACCCCGAGCCTGAAAACAGGGAACCATCTGAACCAGAAACGCCCGAGGAGAACCAAACAAAAATAGTTGTAAGCAATCTACCATCAACAGCCCATGATGAATACTTACAGATGTTTTTTGAGAATAAACGGAAGTTCAAAGGATGTGATGTTTATAGTGTTGAAATGGATGAAGACGGGACATCAGCCATTATTGAGTTTGAGACACCAGAGGGTAAATAATTTCTAGTATTTATTCCTTTGAAAATTTAATATTGAATACATCCAGGTGTTGGATTAAGCCAATTTTAAAAGATCGAGGTCAGAAAAATATCTTGAGCATTTTATTGATGTATTAATAAAATGAATAAATATTTATAATATCTCTCACCATATTTCCCTCTACTCATCTGCCCCCATGTGCACCCCCTCCCCATACCTTCTCATAACTTATGAATTAAGGGCTATCATCACATATCATATTTTGATGCATTATAGATGATTTTAGCGGATTGATAAACTTAATTATCACATAAACCGCCGCGCAGGAGTGTAATAAAGCCATTTAATAAAAACGATATTACACTAGTGTAATAACACTTTGACGTGACGTCATTTGCGCTATATAGAAACATAGCGTTAAAGCGCGCTAATGTTAGCGTTACGCTATAGACGCGTCATTGAAAAATTACTCATTTTAACAGTTTACTGTTCTTATTTTATATATGTGATAAATAGAATATTATATTCGTGTAGATTCAGTACTAAATTTATCGAACTCGTTGAATAAAACAATATTATGCTCGCCAGTATTTAGTATTAAACTACACTCATTCAATATCCTCTATTTACTTTAAGAGTACAGTTGACATTATTTTGAAATCTTTCTAAAAGCATGAATCTGAACATACGCTTTTTTAAAGCAAATAAAAATAATTCTTCTATTTAAGTGATGTGGACCTAGGCATTTAAATACTTTCTAGTTTTGTGCCATATTTTTGCAATATAAGTGAATTTCAAGAATATATAAAAAGATAATAAGTAAAAACCAAAAAATGGATGACAATTTAAGATATTTCCACAGTGATCTTATAAGAATTTTTTCCCTTCTATAGCTGTAGATATTGTCCTGAGCAAATGTCCACTAAAGATGATGGGACGAGAAGTTGAAATATCAAAGTTCGAGCCACCTCCACCGGTTTTATTATGCACCGTAGAAGTGACCGGACCGTGTAGTTTGGTAAGCGAAGATCATCTTGAGATGCTAGAAATGTACTTTGAAAATTCAAAACGATCCGGAGGTGGTGACGTTGTTGATATTGAGTTTGATACAGTAAATAACATGGTCCTTGTCACATTTGAAAGTGAAGACGGTAACTATATACAATATTTACAACAGTTATACAAAATTTTAAATTTGGTCTGTATTAATAAATATTTCAATATATGTTTCTATTACTGATACAGTAAGATGGAATGCGTGTATTTAATTTGATTTTCTTAATATTGATATATATCATTTGTCAGTTTTGTAAAACTTAGCACACAGTAATCTTTTGAATGTTATTTGCTCCATATTTTCCTTCTCTTGATACAGAACCTGATTTGTGTGCAAATCTGTTTAACATTTAGTCAATACGCAGCTGAATTTTAAGAAATTTGGATAAAATTTAGACATTAAGTTGGCAATATTTTTAGCTGACATTTTTTTTTTTCCAACATGCAAAGAGTTAAAAAATGATTATGATGATATAATCATGGCTTGTAATCTTCTTCACCCATCTAGTTGCACAGAAGGTTGCAGAGAAAGGAAGGCATGTTATAAAGAATGAGAAACTCAATGTTAAAGTGCACATTCCGTCCAAAAAGTCTAAAAAACCAGATGACGTGGAAGAGGAAAAGCAAGAGGAGGAGGAGGAAGAGACTAAGCCATCTAATACAATCAAAGTAAAAGGCATTAACAAATCTGCATCGAGAGATACAGTCGAGTTTTATTTTGAGAATTCCCGGCGATCAGGAGGAGGTGAAATAGAGACCATTAAAAGTGATGACGAGGATGAAGATGTCCTTTATATCACGTTTAAATCAACCGAGGGTAATACTTTTTAAAAGATTATTTTTAAGCATCATCCTCACCAGGGCTTTTTGAATGCTAATGAGAGTTTGTCACTGAGGTCTGAATTTATTTCATATGGTTGCACGCGCACCCTATGTAGTACAGTGGAGCCTTGCTAATCCGAACCCTTCTAATCCGGAATCCATTCTTATCCGAACGAAGTGTCCGATCCCGATTTTATTCGTTCTATTTTCAATAGTAAAAAACCTTTCGGATCCGGAACCTGTCTTCTCCGAATTCCGGACGATTTTTTCGATTTTTGTTCTTATTTTACTCTAAAATTTACCTCTCGGATCCGAACAGAGTTTGCCAAATGTCATACCTTCATTCAAAATAACAAATAATCGCACATCTTGCAGGTGTAAACATACACCAAACTGATGTGTTATTTCACTTGATTAATGGGTGAAACGTATGATCTGCGAAGGTGTGAAAATTACACTTAGCTTGCCTTCATATCTTCTATAATTGCTAAATTGATTGTTTTTCGTCACCTTCAATAAATATTTTGATATAATGCAATAAAGATATCTTTTAATCCTTTGTAATGGATTCAATGATACGTGATTAAGCAATAAAAATAATAAAAAATGTCAGTGAATTCGGATAGTCGCTGAATCGGATAAGAGTAAACAACAATTGACAAATGCTGGTACGAATATTTGATTATGCCTCCGCCTCCTGTTTTACATCGTAGGTGAACTTACCCTTGAGGACATAATATTTTTTTGCTTATTTATTTATTTTCATTTCTTTATTTTTGTATTCACATGTATTAGAATGAACGATAAGAGACTGCAAAAATAAAATATCTAAATTGCAATTTCAAATGCATTCCCGTTTTCTTTCCCTAAACTATTTTGCAAATACATGTAACATGAAAAAACATGTAAAAGAACCTTCTAATTCGGTAACCTTTCTAATCCGGAAACCTCTTTAATCCGAACTTTTCTTCTGGTCCGGACGAGTTCGGATTAGACAGGTTCCACTGTAATGCATTTTCTCTTCCATGAAGATATCAGTTTTTACTAGTAAAAATATCAGTTTTCATGAAGATATCATTTTTCAAAAGTGAAGATATCAGTTTTCATGAGTAAAGATATCTTTTTTGTCACGAATGAAGATATCAGTTTTCATATGTGACGATGTCAGTTTTGATGGGTGAAGGTATCAATTTTCAAAAGTGATGATATCATTTTTCCCTAGTGAATATAGCCGTTTTCACACATATTGTGAAAGTCACAATTATTTGATTCAAAAAGCTGATATATTCTATCCATATCAGATGTTGATTTGAAGTTATTAAAACGTCAATAATAATATTGCAAGGAGTTTGTCAAAATTGATATTTTACTTTATCTCTCACAGTATTTAGCACTTCAAGCAATGGCCCTGTATTGCTGAAGCGTCCTAATTGTATTCTGTGATGAAACAATTTATAAGCATCATGTTCAAACTAGAATTGGTAGATTAAATGATTCAAATGTAATCATTATTATAAAACTGAACTTTGACTTTATTCAAAACGGGTATTTATTGCTTATTTACTTTTTCAGTGGCTGAAAGTGTATTGGAGAGAACTCACAAACTGGAAGGAAAATCATTAAATGTTTCCCTGTATGTGCCCCCTGTAGCACCTCCATCGTACGACAATAAAATTCTGCTTAAAGGATTGCAAGCCAGTACAACTCAAGATTGTTTGTTCAACTTTATCGAGGCGAAATCTGGATGTTTGCCAGAAACAATGGACTATCATTCTGAACAAGAGGATGTTGCTATGGTTACCTTTAGTGAAACACCAGGTATGAAAACTATGAGTTTCAGATATTTGAGAAAATATTTATTTGTTCAAATTACTCTTAACCTGCTGATTTTCCTAAATAGACTTGTCCAACTTGCAAAGTTGGAACTGTCCGTTTTCTATTTTGGGCATATCAAGATAAAAATTCACAGAAATCCAGCCATAATATAGAGCCTGGTGAGAATGAATGGATGTGCAGACTGTCCTGGCTCTATACTGGTGGCAAAGGCTGAAATACTTTTTGATGATTTTTTAATGTGTGGAAGCTTAAACAAGAATAACAAATTGCTAGACAATACAGTTCTGACCTTCTGTATATAAATGAAAAGTACCGACCGGGTAATTTGTACACATCACGTTTAATTATTTATGTTTATTTTACTTATTTATCTTTCTTGTAGACTTTAAAAAATTGGAGAGTGCCTTTGATAAATATAAACTGGAAGGAGCGTCACTGAAGATATGTCCTGTACCAATATCAAACTGTATTATTGTGGCAAATCTGGCCTCTGAAGTCACCAAAGACACCATTGAGTTTTACTTTGAAAACAAAAGAAAGAGTGGTGGTGGACAAGTTGATAAAGTTGTGATGAATGAGGATGACACGTGTCTTGTATACTTTTCTGATTACATGGGTAAGTATTTCTATACAGTTATAGTTTCAATGTCACAAATTTCTTATTTCTATTCAGATTCAGTCTGTAAAATTAGTTATTTACCTTTTACTTAAGTCATTGATTCTTTAAAATTACTAGATCTAAGGCTTCATTTTGCTTTTTTTAAATGTACATTGCAAACTCTGCTGAGTGACCCTTTTTAGAGCAATGACAGACTTCATAACAAATTCAACCTCTGTAAAGAAACACATCATAGTAATACTCAGTCTTTATCTTCCAAAAGGTGTTGTTAAAGCTGCATGCCTCCAGATGAGCATAAATATTTCAATAAAATCAAACTTGAGAAAAATGTGCTAAGATTTTAGGAAATGCAAAAATATTCAAGATTCAAGTAATATTTTACATGTTTTTGGCGATTAATGACTGATTTTTCAGTATTTATAACTATATTTCTACTCCGTTACTAACGCAGTAGGGCTATTTTTGCATATTTTGTCCTATATTTAGCTCACCTGTCACAAAGTGACAGGGTGAGCTTTTGTGATGGCTTTTCGTCCGTCCGTAAACTTTTACTTTAAATGACATCTCCTTATAAACCACTAAGCCAATTTCATCCAAACTACACAGGAATGTTCCTTTGGTGGTCACCTTTAAAAATTGTTCAAAGAATTTAATTCCATGCAGAACTCTGGTTGCCATGGCAACCAAAAGAAAAATCTTTAAATATCTTCTTTTAAAAAACCCTAAGAGCTAGAGCTTAGATATTTGGCATGAAACATATTCTAGTGAGTGTCTACCAAGTGTATTTAAATAAAAGCCCTTGGGTCAAAATTGGCCCCGCCCCAGGGGATCATTGATTTTCCCTATATGCATATAGTAAAAACTGTTAAAGAACCCAAAGAGCTAGAGCTAAGATATTTAGCATGAAACATCTTCTAATCAGTGTCTACCAAGTTTGTTAAAATAAAAGCCCTGGGGTCAAAATTGGCCCCGCCCCAGGGGGTCATTGATTTTCCCTATATGCATATAGTAAAAACTTAAAAATCTTCTTTTAATGAACTCAAAGAGCTAGAGCAAAGATATTTAGCATGAAACATGTTCTATTTGGTGTCTACCAAGTTTGTTCAAATAAAAGCCCTGGGGTCAAAATTGGCCTTGCCCCGGGGTCATTGATTTTCCTTATATGTATATAGTAAAAACTTCTTGGAAAAAACCCAAATAGCTAGAGTTTAAATATTAAGCATGAAACACCTTCTAGTGAGTGTCTACAAAGTTTGTTCAAATAAATGCTCTTGGATCAAAATAGGCCCGCCCCGGGGGTTAGTGGTTTTTCTTATATGTGTATAGCAAAAACTTAAAAATCTTCTTTGAAAAACCCAAATTGCTAGAGTTTAAATATTAAGCATGAAACATCTTCTAGTGAGTGTCTAGAAACTTTGTTCAAATAAAAAGCCCTGGGGTCAAAACTGGCCCCGCCCCAGGGGTGTCATTGTTTTTAACTATATGTGTATAGTAAAAACTTTAAAAAATCTTCTTTTAAAAAACCCAATGAGCTAGAGCTTAAATGTTTAGCATGAAACATATTCTTATGGGTGTCTACCAAGTGTGTTCAAATAAAAGCCTTGGGTTAAAATTGGCCCTGCCGGGGGGGGGGGGCGGAGGAGGGAGTTGGGTGGGGGGGTGAAGGCAGGGCCTATATACATTTGAGCGACCTCAGGGCCATTATGGCCCTCTTGTTAGTAGTTTAGGTGGGTTGTAAGTGCCATTTATAATGTGTAAATTGCTTCCGTTTGGTTAATTCACTAAATAACACTTTTAAATACATTTTCAAAATTTTCATGAAAATTAGCATGAATCTGGAGGCGGGCTGCTTTAAGCAGATGTTGTTCTGTACTTTTTCCATGACATAGAGCTTTTTTCAACAATTATATTCCAGTGATTGATGACGTGTTAGAAAAAGAACATACGCTCAGTAAACAGCTGCTTGATGTAAAGAGATATCAGGAATGCCTTGGTCGTCCTGAGGGAGAAGTAGCAGAAAGAGTATTACGCATTCCTGAAGACATTGTTCTTAAAAATGTTGATGCCCAGAAATTAAAGTTTTTGAAACATTCCAAAGTTAATCGTATGGGAATAGAAAAACAACTTGACTCTTGTTATGCTACGATTGTTTGGCCAGAAGATGGTGGAGAAGTTATTATAAAATGCACATTGACAAATGAGATCAAAGACTGCTTCAAATTAATAAAAACATGGAAAAACACAGCAGTGGAAAACTTTGAAGACTTTATGAAACTCATCATAGTAAAAAAGGTGCAGATACTGCAGGATATATGGGGAAAAGTGATTGAGGAACTACAAAAGTTCAATATAGAAAACCCTGAAGCAGTTGCTATATTTGTTGATAAGAATGAAAGTGTTATAACAGTGGTCGGAAATAAGAATGTTGCTGAAGATCTTTCAACAAAGATTGAAAATATGACAAGAGAAGTTATGGCAGAAGTAGAAAAAGAGCGTGAAAAAATAAAAGAAACCATCACAACGTTGAAAAATATTGAAACTAGAATGCTTTTAGCTGATAAATTTCCCACAGACGTGGAAAAACAGTTCCCAGACCTGAAAGTTAAGATAAATCAGAACAAAAATGAAATTGTCTTTGAAGGGCCACTAGGGCAGGTTCGAGATGCTAAATTGAAGATGTATGAATTGAAGACGCGTTTTGCTGTAGATCGCTCTGAGAAAATATCAGAACTTGCCGCAGGATTGCTTATACTGAAACAGACCAAAGAACATGTGGTAAAAAAGCTTAAAGCTTCTCGTGTCACAGCAGTTTGGGACACAGTTGACGGATATTTAGAAGTTTACTGCACATCCCAAGATCAGATCCAGCTTTGTGTCAATGTCATTCGATCATGTATTATAGAACATACCGTAGCCTTAAAAAAAGCTGCCAAAACTGTGGTTAATTCTGAAAAGTGGCAAACTAAAGTTGATGAATTGCATGGATACCATGCAGGAAAATGTTTTATAAAAGTTTCTGATGATTCTTGTAAAGTTCAGATTTGTGCAACAGACGACATAGCCAATGAAATTTTAGATAATGTTAAAATTTTCCTACGTCAAAACACAGTCGTTGAAGCCAAAGTTCCGTGCACAAAAAATGTCCATCGTCTGATTGAGAGGCATCACAAAAATGAAATTTCCAACATAGCTAAGGGTTTGACAAATTACAATGTACAGATATCTTCAGTTGCAGAATATGGGGGTTTCGAAGTTCGTGGGACAGAAGATGGCTTACATCAAGCTGTGCAACAACTTCATCAACTACTACTGAAAGTAAAACAGAAAGAACATATTATGACTAAACCTGGTTTAAGTAAGCACATGCAAACACCGAAAGGAAAAGACAACCTTAATACTATAGAGAGTATGCACCAATGTGTAGTGGCAGTGAAAGGTGATAACGATGAGGGTGAAATAACTGACAATCCGTATGATACAGTTCCTTTTGGTAGTGATGTCAAGGATAACATTGGAGTAAAAGGAGTGAAGATTGTGGCCTACAGTAAAGTGTATGATTGTAGAAATGTATATACGATGCTGGGGGATATGACAGAACTAACTGTGGATATGATAGTGAATTCAGCAGATGATAAACTTAGCTTGACTGGAGGACTAGGAAATGCTATTGTCAAGAAAGGTTGGTTTTATATTTCAATATATATTTAAGATTTTTATAGATATTCAGAAAGTGTTGTCACATATGACTTACACTTAAAGGTGAATGGAAGGTCTGTTATACCAAAACTTTAACCTTTATTGTCAGGTATTGAATACATTTTAAAGTGAATTAGGTCAATAATGGAAAATCTGTAATGCTGAAAAATTTAATGATACTACAGATAGTATTTAGTATCTTTGACAAGAACAAAAACCAAATGAATTATGTATATGAATATTGAGTGGTAAAAGATCCAATACAAAATATTGAAGAGATACATTTCTTGTGGTTTAATCAATACATGTATTTGTACACCTATGATAATTTGCCTTTTGTAGACCACTCATCTTTAAAGGTAGTTACTGTAGTTACTGTAGAGAACTAAAACATACTGTATGTTATATATTTTCCTAGAGAGTTCATTTAATAGATAGGAATAGCAAGGAGTTTAATCAAAAAGTAATTGTAGGAGATTTGCTCCCTTGTGAATAAATTTCATGTGAAAGTTTTCAGCCCAGTGTAATAAGATATTAAACAAGTTTCAATGGTGAAAGAGTGAATAAGTTGCTTAAGAATTACATTTTCCTAGTTCATTTAAATTAAATATGCCAATATGCCAATTTTAAGAAACTGTAGGACCTGCCTAAGATGTCCAACTTCGATTTTAGGTCTCCAAACATAGAAAATGTACTACTATATCATATATATATATATCTTACTAACCACAGCTGTTTTATTAAAGAAATATAGAAACAAAGTTGAGTCAGACAGTATTTGTAAAATGCTTTGTAAAAGGTCTACATGATTGCTTATTTTCCCTAAACCACAGGTGGTAAGAATATCCAAAAAGAATGTGCTGACTATATTAGAGATAATGATAGGTTAGATGACGGGGATGCATTTGTTAGTACTGCTGGATCGCTTAAGGCAAGTGCTATTGTACATGTAAGAGGGCCGGTTTGGCGAGGTGGCATGAAGCAGGAAGATGAGATGCTAACAGATGCTATATTTAAATGCCTGCAGCAGGCTACTACTAGAGATCTGACATCAGTTGCCATACCTGCCTTAAGTTGTGGCACATACGGGTGAGAATCTGTTTAATGTTATCAATTCATTACACCAGTATCCATCTACTGGTTTCTGTCTTAAGACCAACCTTTGAACTTATTTAGTTTATCATGAGAACATAGATTATATGGTTTTGTAGAAGATACTTACTATTTGTTTTATTTTATTCACAGTCAAAAATCTGTCATAGAGCTTCTTTAAACAAAAAGATCTGACTTGTTAGATTATTTATTTTCTCAATTATAATTCCCACTACATAATGTGGCATGGCTTTACTGGAATTACTTTACTGTGCATGTAATTTTTTCCCCGCCGATGGAATCGGGAGGGGGATATTGTTTTGGCGTCATTCCTCCGTCCATCCTTCTGTCAGTCCTTCCATCGGAATTTCGTTTCCGCACTACTTCCCTGCAACTAGTGGCTGGAATTCCACAAAACTTTCTGGGAACCTTCAATATCAAAAGGAAATGTGCATATCGCTAGCCGCATGGGTTCAAACCCTGACAGGGGCAAGTCGTTGTTTCCTTGAGCAAGAAACTTTACACTCATTGCTCAGTACTGGTTGGTTCCAGGAACGGATTCGAAAGTGTGTTTATAAGCTAATAGCTTCCTACACAATCGAACTAAAATAAATTCTGTATAAACCAAATGTGCATATCGTCGGCTTGTTCTGGTCCGACACTTTAACTCAAGAGTTATGGCCCTTGATTAGTTATGCAGTATGCATACAGAGTAAAAATCGTTTCCACGCTACTTCTCTGCAACTACTGGCTGGAATTCAACGTAAATTTATGGGAACCTTCAATTTCAAGAGGGGATGCGCACATCGTTGGCTTGTTCAGGTCGGACACTTTAACTCAGAGTTATGGCCCTTGATTAGTTATGCAGTATGCATACAGAGTAAAAATCGTTTCCACGCTACTTCTCTGCAACTACTGGCTGAGATTCAATGAAACTTTATGGGAACCTTCAATACCAAGGGGAGATGCGCATATCATCGCCTTGTTCCGGTCAGACACTTTAACTCAGAGTTATGGCCCTTGATTAGTTATGCAGTATGCATATAGAGTAAAAATCGTTTCCGTGCTACTTCTCTGAAACTACTGGCTGGAATTCAACGAAACTTAATGGGAACCTTCAATACCAAGAGGAGAAGCGCATATCGTAAGCCTTGTTCCGGTCAGACACTTTAACTCTAGAGTTATGGCCTTTGATTAGTTAAGCAGTATGCATATAGAGCAAAAAACATTTCCGCTCTACTTCTCTGCAACTACTGGCTGGAATTCAATTAAACTTAATGGGAACCTTCAATACCAAGAGGAGATGGGCATATCGTCACCTTGTTTGGATCAGACACTTCAACTCAGAGTTATGGCTCTTGATTAGTCATGCAGTATGCATATAGAGCAAAAATCGTTTCCACGCTACTTTTGGAATTTCGTTTCCGGAGTAGTTCTCTGCAACTGCTGGTTGGAATTCAACAAAACTTTATGGGAACTTTCAATACCAAGAGAAAATGCGCATATCATTGCCTTGTTAGGGTCAGACATTTTAACTCAGAGTTATCACCCTTGATAACTTATGCAGTATACAACCAGAGCAATAATCGTTTCCGTGCTACTTCTCTGTAACTACTGGCTGGAATTCAATGAAACTTTATGGGATACGAAGAGGTGATGTGCATAAAGTTGCCTTGTTCCGGTCAGACAGTTATAACTCAGATTTATGGCCCTTGATTAGTTATACAGTATGCATACATCTCATTGCCATTTCCAGATATTACTATTTAACACAGAGTTATGGCTCTGTTATTGCCCTGAATATTTATCAAGTTCAAAGAATATTACTGTTTATGCCATTAAAAATATATAAATAAAGCCTTATGTCTTCAGTTGGTGTGTTAGTAATAACCAATACTCGGCAGGGGATATAAATTCAACAAATTTGCTTGTTTTTTTCCTGTCATTTTACTGTTACATATTAATTATACTTTGGAAAGAAGTTACAAAAAATAATATTATCATTAAAAACTATTTTCTTATAGCAGCGTATGAATTTACATCTTCCTTCATATTGTCATCCAAAAAGATTGCAATTCATTCAAAAAAGTCATGGCATCATTTAAAGCACATGACTTTTATAAGACAGGTTTTCTAGCACCAATGTAAACAGTAGATAATCCTGTTTGATATGCTAGAAATTTTGTTACATTACTGAAGAAGTAGAATTATATTCTAGATACCCTGTGAGAAAGGCTACCACTGTAATAGTGGCAGCTGTGAAGAACTTCTTCCGTGAAGTTCAAGAAAGCACTGTGACGGATATATACTTGTGTGACATGAAGTCAAATACAGTTGAAGCATTCAATGAAGCTATGAGCAATGAATTTGGTGCAACGAATGTGAAGAAGTACATTGACAATCTGGATTCAATAAGGCAACCATCTAGGAGATTTTCAAGTGAGTGAGATTTCAAAGTTTACTGTGTAAGTGATTAAGTTATGACATAAAAGTATTGGAAAATTTCATGAATTGATTAAAATTACTGAAATATCCCCCAGCGTTTTTATCAACCAACCTGTCAATAAATTCGACCCATGCACTATTTGCTAATATTCCTGGAATTTTAAATTCACTAATTTTTTGACGGAAATATCCACTTATACAGACATTTCTTCCATTTTCTATGTAATTTGGATATAAATATAAAAGATTTTAATGCAATGAGGAAGTTGTAATGAATAGTGAGATTATGCACGTCTTTTTCTTTTCTTCCTATGTTGAAAATTCTTGTTGCTATGGCAACAAAAAGTCTGAAAATATGGCAGATTGTACACATAAACTGGATCTAGTGATAATGCGAAAAGTACTGAAAATATTTTTATGAAACTTTGAATATGGGTAGATGGCAGTCTGGAGATTATGCATGTCTTTTTCTTTTCTTCCTTTTTTGAAAAAATTGGTTGCCATGGCAACAAATAGGCTTAAAACATGGCAAATGTAACAATACTTATGATTAGTCAAAAAGAGCTGAAAATTTTTCTGAAACTTAAAATATGGATAAATGGTAGTATGGATATTATACACATCATTTTAATCTTGACGATAGGGAGTATATTGAGAGCTATCATACTTAACAAACGTCAACCTAGTCAAGATTTCTGATTCTAGTTTTTCGGCTTTTTCACTATAAGTTCTTAATTTCTTAAGGTATTTATTTCAAACTTCAAATATAACTTTCTAGTCATCAACAACATCATATGTTACAAAGTTTACAACTCTAGCACAAAAATTATCATAATTGCCTCCTTTGAATTTAGAATTTTCATGAATTTTTTTTTTTTTAAACTTCTTTATTGCTTAATGTATCTTCTTTGAACTTCATATATATGTTTCTTATTATCACTCAAATCATTTGTGAGAAGGTTCAATACTCTTGCAAGACTATTTCCAGAATTATGTCCCCCTTGAACTTAGATTTTTTTTTCGAGAAATTGGTATGTTTTACTCCAACTTCTTCATTACATAATAGGATTTACTTCAAATTCCCACATCATAATAGTATGACAAGGTTTATAAATCTAGCATCCATAATTCCAGAATTATCTCCTCCTTAAACTTTGAATTTTTCCTATTCATTCTTTTAACTTTCTATTACTTCAAATTCAAAATAAACATTCATTATCAACAGCTTCATTACTAATTGTTCTTTGTTAACACTACATCATGTGTGACGTCTTGCATCTTTATTTCAAGAGTTATCTCCTCTTTATAAGAATTTCGCTTCTAAAAATGTTATATTTTGGTAACGGGGATGTTTCAAAAATTTACTTTAGAGTGTCCTTTAGTCCGTCTGTCTGTTCATAAAAACTGTTTTTTGTAATCACTTATAAAGAACTTTTCCAACAAATTTACTTAAGATAGACAAAAATTGAAACACTAGTGAATGGCCAATGGCCCTTCAGAATGTTGCTGGGGTTCTAACCTGTAGGGGACTTATGGATTGCTTGCAAATTATACTATGACAATTGTTTGTTTACATGGTTGTAGGTGCTGTTTGAAGTGTGAAAAATATATTCTTTTGTTCATTTCACAATATTTTACTTTTTAATGCATTTTTCTAAATTTTCATGAAAATTTAAGCACGAATCTTGAGGTGTGCCGCTTTAAAACTATTGTTACTGTGTTATATCTTGAATGTTTGTTTTGTGACTAGCAGGAGCTGACTCGGATGATGAAAATCCCTATATTAAACCATATATATTGGACACAGACCAAGAGGATGATGACTACTACCAAAGCTCAAGTAATTTGGCGCCACCTAGTGGTAATTATATTGGATTTAACTCACTATAGTGTTGGAGCAGACCCTCTCAACGCTTGCAGAAATAATAATCACAACTTAGAAAAATATTACTTTTTAGCTCACCTGTCACAAAGTGACAGGGTGAGCTTTTGTGATCGCTTTTCGTCCGGCGTCCGTCCGGCGTCCGTCCGTCCGTAAACTTTTACTTTAAATGACATCACCTCATAAACCACTAAGCCAATTTCATCCAAACTTCACAGGAATGTTCCTTTGATGGTCACCTTTAAAAATTGTTCAAAGAATTTAATTCCATGCAGAACTCTGGTTGCCATGGCAACTGAAAGAAAAAACTTTAAATATCTTCTTTTAAAAAACCATAAGAGCTAGAGCTTAGATATTTGGCATAAAACATCTTCTGGTGAGAGTCTACCAAGTTTGTTCAAATAAAAGCCCTGGGGTCAAAATTGGCTCCGCCGCGGGGGTCATTGATTTTCCCTATATGCATATAGTAAAAATTTAAAAAATCTTCTTTTAAAGAACTCAAAGAGCTATGGCTAAGATATTTAGCATCAAACATGTTCTAATAGGTGTCTACCAAGTTTGTTCAAATAAAAGCCCTGGGGTCAAAATTGGCACCGCCCCGGGGGTCATTGATTTTCCTTATATGTGTATAGCAAAAACTTAAAAAATCTTCTTTGAAAAAACCGAAATAGCTAGAGTTAAGATATTAAGCATGAAACATCTTTTAGTGAGTGTCTACAAAGTTTGTTCAAATAACAGACCTGGGGTCAAAATTGGCCCCGCCCCCGGGGTCATTGGTTTTCTTTATATGTGTATAGCAAAAACTTAAAATCTTCTTTGAAAAAACCCAAATAGCTAGAGTTTAGATATTAAGCATGAAACATCTTCTAGTGAGTGTCTACAAAGTTTGTTCAAATAAAAGCCCTGGGGTCAAAACTGGCCCGGCGCCAGTGGTGTCATTGTTTTTAACTATATAAGTATAGTAAAAACTTAAAAAAAATCTTCTTTTAAAAAGCCCATTGTGCTAGAGCTTAGATGTTTAGCATGAAACATCTTCTTATGGGTGTCTATCAAGTTTGTGCAAAATCAAAGCCCTTGGGTTAAATTGGCCCTGCAACGTTGGGGGGGAGGTGGGGTTGGTTGGGGGGGGGGCCTATATACAGGTGAGCGACCTCAGGGCCATCATGGCCCTCTTGTTTTAGCTAATTCTTGAATTTTTCTTTAATTATCATATATCAATTGGTGTGAAGAGATAGATAATTAATAAGATGTTGTGAAGTGTATATGGGCCATTTTAAATGCAAGATTTTAGCATTTAGTAGTTCAAGCGACTTTTCTGGTATATACCGGAATATGGTATTTAGTGTTGTGCTCCAACACTTTTTAGTCCTCACTCAATAATTTTGTATATGCTTATAAAACCTTAATTTGTTGACTTAATGTAATAGATTTACTCTGTTTTGAATTTGGAACTAACCTTAATTACTTGACTTTTTGTGTAATACATTTACTGTTTTTAATTTGGAACTAACCTAAATGTCTTGAATTTGTGTAATAGATTTGCTGTGTTTTAATTTGGTACTAACCTTTATTTCTTGAATTTATTTAATGGATCTTTTGAATATGGATCGTAAGGGATGCAAAAGTTGAGCTACCAACAGTATAGAGCCTGATCAGTACACTTTCAATAGTTCAGGAAGAAATTGACGACCGGAAAATATTTCAAATTATAACCTTCAAGATTTTTAATTGTTTTGGTCACTATACAACATGCTTATTAATAAGTCAAATAGGTGGTTTTAAAAAATATACATGCATGTATTATTTATTTACCCTGTGTACTTACAGTTACTTTGGTTACTTTCAGGAAAAGCACCACCTTTGCCAAAGGGTAGACCACCACAAAAAACAACTAAAATAGGAAATATTTCCGTATCTGTGGTAAAGGGAGAAATTGCGAAACAAAAAGTAATTAAACTTTTGTTTATTTCGTTTAATGCATGTACATGTGTAATAACCACAATTGTGGCTAGCCTGAGTCCCTTATTGTTATGAAGTTTTTTGTGACCGCTTGATAGAAGTAAGTCTACTCTATGGGCCTGATTCAATATTTTCTCATATCTGCACAATTTCATTATGATTTGATGTAGAGCAAACTTGAACTGAGCCTATACATTCTGTAGGTTTCTCACAAAGAGCTTTGCCCACAAACCAGAGTGACCTATATAGGCATATATTATTAGTTATAAAGATTTTTGACAGGTTATATGGCCCTATATAAACAGTTATTTATAAATATAACCCGAGCTGCTCGGCGAGGGTTTTATTGAGAAAAAAAACAACGTTATATAGAGCCATATAACCTGTCAGAAATATTTATAAAGAATTTATAATACAGCAAGCACCATTTTTAGAGGGATAAAGCGAGATTTCTTTATAAAACGACAGCAGTCGTGTATTTAAAACTATATAAAGGCCTCGATTAACCAACGAAAAGCGACATTACAAACGTGCAGTATTATTTTTTGCTTTCTAAAGATGGTTTGTAAATTTTATTTTTTCATTTTACTTGATTCTTCACAAGACTTTATCAGTAGTAGGAATTTGTTCTTGCAAGCAATAACCTGAATTAAAAAAGAACAACACAAAAAAACAAAATTCTTGTCATAAAGTGTATAAAGCTTTATATCTGCTGTCTGTATGTAAAAAAATATTTTATTTTACTTTTAACGAAGAAAAATGCCCAAAAAACTTGTAATTGATAGAAATAAGTTTGTAAAGCAAAATGGTTCATGCATGAAATTGTTGCTGAATGGTAAAAACTACTTAAAATAGCAACATTAGAATTTGTTCTGGAACATATTCTGTTTACATACAATATTCATGTGTATTAAATAACAGAGACCTAATATGTTACAACTGTTTTCGAGAATCAGGTATTTTTCAAGAACTTGCGACCATTGGTTCTTTTTTAAGTTTCTAGAGTAAATTTAAGAACTTGTTGGGGTGGAAGAAAAAATGTTTTTGTTTCAAAAGTAAAGTCTAGTTGAAAATTGATGTTGATTTAAAAAGCACTTCTATCCTTAAAGGTTGATGTAATAGTGAACACTACGGCTAAAAATTTGGATTTGAAGAATGGCGCTGTTTCTGCCTCCTTATTGAAAACAGGTGGTATGGAACTGCAGCAAGAAGTGACCAAAAAGTATCCCAATGGTATAAAGGATGGTGAAATAGCTGTAACTTCTGGTCAGAGTCTTAGGTGTGATATTGTTGTACATAGTTCTTTGGCAAACTGGGACGGGAAAAAAGATGCTCAATGTAAACAGGTATGCCTGTTAAAGGGTTTGTTTCTTTTTGCTTGAAAGAACTTGTGAACCGTTTTTGTTTTGTTTTGTTTTTTTATCAGATGGTTAAAAACAAAATTATTCCCTTCAGAAGGACATCCAGAAGTCTTTCATCTTAGAAAATAATCTCAAGTTAACTCATTGGCACACTTGAAATACAAGAGGTTCTGAATAAAGTTCTACATAAAAGTCAAAATAGCATGGCTATGAAAATTTTTAGGAAAATTTTTTTAAAACTTTCAAATTATGTCAAACTGTCAATGTACAAATTCATGCGAAGAATAATTGGGTGCACGGACATAATCCCCTTTGGACAAAATCCCCTTCATGTATTTTTGTATATCTGGACATAATCCCCTCCATGGGTGGACATAATCCCCTTCATGTGTGAAATTTTGAAGTGGACAAAATCCCCTTATACAATCAATAAAACAATTATTGGCTAATAAAAATGTTTTTCATACAAAAAAATTAATTAAAGAAATTGCCTAATGAAAAATGTGTTATGCAGTTGATAATTTACCTTAATTTTAATGAAAGCTTCTAAACTAAATAAAGGTTAACTATTGATACATAATTATAAAAAAAAAAAAAAGAGTTCATTATTCATCAATTTTTAGGGAATATAATAATACATTATTCATCCATTTTTGTGGAGCATAATAATACATTAGAAACCTATGAAACAAGGGGATTTTGTCCGGGTAGTGAAGGGGATTTTGTCCGGCCTTGCAAAAAAATGAAGGGGATTATGTCCACCCATGAAGGGGATTTTGTCCGGGTAGGCAAAGGGGATTTTGTCCAAAGGGGATTATGTCTGACATTCGAATAATTGACGAACTATATTTGGTAACACTAGGTTTACCAATGGGAAAGTAGGTCAAATCTGATCTTTAACATCTTAGAGGGTTACTAGTGAAAATAAATAGATGTTGGTAGGTATCGTGAGTATCCAAACAATTCTATGACTTGTTTATTTTGAGATAATAAAAATCCTATTTTGTTGTGCAGGCATTACATAAACTTATGAAAGACTGCATGGACGAGGCCGAGAATCAAGGCAAGACCAGTATAGCTTTTCCAGCCATTGGTACAGGTAACCTCGGATTTCCGCGTGACATCGTAGCAACTGAGATGTTTTCAGCTGTGTCAAAGTTTTCCGATAGTAACCCTTCATCTAGTCTGCGTGAAGTCAGTTTCATAGTTTATCAAAAAGATTTTCAAACTATTCAGGTAGTTATATTAGAAATCTACTTTCAATCTTGATTTATTATATTTTTGCTCAAGAAGGAAGAGATTCCAATTTTGTTCTTTATTTGTTATAGGAAAACAAACAATTCCAAGTTGTGAAGTATATTTAGTAATTATTATATAGTTATTTTGATCCAGTTATTCTTGTATTTTGAATAGTTTTTTATCAAATTTTTTATAGTGGGACGTCAGTGGTTGAGTGTTTAAGTTTATTGACGTCAAATCACTTTCTCACAGGAACTTTGAATTATTTCATGTGAGCAAGCTATCTTGCTAGCTAGTGGAATGTTGGTGGTTCTACTTAGGTGCCCATTCATACCTGAAATAATGCATGGAAGGGCACTAGGTCTTCCTCCTACAGTAAAGCTGGAAAGTTGCCATATGACCTATACTGTGTTGGTGTGGCATGAAACCCAACAAATTAAATAAATAGAAATATCAATTTTATTCAAAAAAAGGTTTGTTTCCTTGCAAATCAGTAATCTTGTGACTGTTTGTACAGTATTAATTTAGCCTGATATGATCATATTCATAAAGCAATAAAAAAATCAGGATCATTTGATTCAGATATCTTTGTTTGTGAACACACGGCCAGATGTTCAACACCACCTACTTATACTTTGCAGTTTTTAAGAAAAATAATGAACTATGAATTGGGAAATGCGCTTTAAAAATCAACATGTACATGTACCAGTTACTATCTAAGTAACTTTACAAATGTATATAGAAAACCATATACCAAAAAAATAGAAAACCATATACCAAAAAAAAAATAGAAAACCATATACCAAAAAAATAGAAAACCATATACCAAAAAAAAAAAAATAGAAAACCATATACCAAAAAAATAGAAAACCATATACCCCAAAAAAAAAAAATTGTCAGTGAGTATATCAGTCACAGTGTAAGCAATACACATGAACTATGAGTGATATGGGTTTTATTTCACAAAACATTTCACTAGTTAGGATCAAATCAATTGTGTTTCCATGGTTTTTAGGCTTTTGAAAATGAGGCGAGAAGATGGTCAACAGGGAAAAGGGGCGCAACTGGAGGAAGAGAAGGCCGGCAATATGATCTGTACCAAGATTTACAAGGGAGATTCCGTAGGTTATTTTTGAAAATTTCTATTGCTTTAATGTTTGTTTAATGTCTCACCTCCCTTTTATATGTTTTACTTTAAGTAAAAACTTCCCAGTTTGCATGGTATGGGCTGTTCATCTAGGATTGTGAATTTCTTTTTATATTTTTAATAACGCCAAACAGTGCTAATCAGAATATGGTCCCCACAAGAGCTGTAGATCTATCAGTCTGTTCCAATTAAACATGTTATTACAAAAAATATGTTGAAATCTTGGAATTATATTAAATATTTTATCATGGAAATATAGAACCATATAAGTATTTTGTTCAAAAGTCAAGGTCACATGTACAAGGTCTTATGTTAATATATGGTCTTAAACAATTTAATGATATCAGTACCACTGACATCAGTAAAAATGTCTTGAAATATAATAGTTTTGCACAGACTGTTTACACCATAAAGCCCATAACTTTAATTTTATACATAAATAATAATCATATATTGTATTGAACTGTTTTTTATAATATTATTAATTACTGTATGATTGGGTAATCACTAACTTGAGGATACAAACTTTAATTATTTGCCTTTTGGCATTAAATTTGAAATAATTTTAATTATAGATAAAACAGCAATGTGTTGAATTGTTATTTGACTAGTAACATCTGATTTTGTTGATGCTTTCAACCTTATAGACTTACGACAGGAAGCTATCATTAGAATTATTGAAATAAGAATTCCCACAAAATTTGTTTTATGATGAATAATGATTAAGCCTTTATAATTGACATCATGATTATTTAAGATTGAAACATTCTGTGTCATTTTTGTATCATTGATGATCTTCGAAAATTAGATGGTGTAGGTGGCCAAGTAAGTAAGGTCGTTGACATCAATCCACTTGCTTCACATCACCGTGGGTTCATATCCCAACAGGGACTTTAGATTCTTTCATTACTGTAACATAGAGGATTGTTTATACATAGCCACAGTGTTGGTTTTAATTTCAATGGAAGAAAATGTGTGCTAAATGTTTTTGGTAGATTATTTTCTAATCGGATTGTTTCTGTTGATAAATCGTTACCTTGTTTCCTATTGTTTTCACTTTAACTTTATAAAATTTGGACCCAGTTATATATGCACACCAGTTATACCAGAAAGCCAACTGCACTTTTCAGTCCTTTGTTACCATTCAGGTATTCAGTTTGTTGCTAATCACATATGAAGCTTGTTACCAGTCAGTTATTAAGCTTGTTACCAATCACATATTAAGCTTGTTACCAATCACATATTAAGCTAGTGGCCAATCACATATAAAGCCTGTTACCAGTCAGTTATTAAGTTTGTTACCAATCACATATTAAGCTTGTTACCAGTCAGTTATAAGCTTGTTACCAATCTCATACAATCACATATTAAGCTTGTTACAAATCACATATTAACCTTGTTACCAATCAGATATTAAGCTTGTTACAGATCAGATATTCAGTTTGTTATCAATCACAATTTTACTTTATTACCAATCAGAAATTAAGCTTTTACCAATCAGATATTTACCTTGTTTCCTGTTAGACTTGTTTCCTGTCAGACTTGTTTCCTGTAAGATATTTACTTTGTTTCCTGTCAGACTTGTTTCCTGTCAGATACTTACCTTGTTTCCAGTCAGACTTGTTTCCTGTAAGATATTTACCTTGTTTCCTGTCAGACTTATTTCCTGTAAGATATTTATCTTGTTTTCTATCAAATATTACCTATTTTTATCAGTTTGGAGAAAGTAAATGAATGATATATTGTACATGAAATAAACCAAGCAGAAGGGATATGTATTGTGGAAAATGTTCGTATTCAGCTGTGTTTATCTGCCATATTTTACAATATTAAGCTCACCATTAAAAAAAACAAAACAAAAAACAGTGTATTACAATTGGTATAAGATATAGGAAAATATTAATGCAAACAACTTCTTCTTAAGAGCAATATTTAAATTGTTAATTCAGTTGTTTATACAGAACGTATCCTACTGTCGTAATATTTTTTTTTTAATTCTGAATTACTAAGTACATTTACCACACGTCATCTCTTCTGCTTGGTAGATGATGGCTCCGACTCTGACTCCGACACATTTGGCAACGGATATGACACAATGGAACATAATAGGAAAACCCGGAGAGAGAAAAGGAAGGAGGCGGACTACGTAACACCATATACTGGTTTACAACGTATTTGTGACCCAAAATATTGGCTGGAAGACGAGAATATTGACATGGCAAGTAAAATCATAAAAAACACTAACTCCGATATAAGTGGGTTAGAGCAAGTTTGTGTTATTAGTGCGGGACAAGCAAAGAAGTGTTCTGGAGAGTATCTACAAATCCTACATTCTCATGGGCATCATTGGATAACAGCAACTACGATTGGATGTGACACCAATGTTATTAAAGTTTACGACAGTATGTATCGTGACTTTGACAGACATTGTGTGAAACAAATCATCAAAATGTCGCCAGTGGATGAAACGGGAGAAATAATTGTTGAATTAGCGCAGTTTCAGAGACAAAGGAACAAAGCCGACTGTGGCCTTTTTGCAATAGCGGCTGCATTTAGTCTCGCTGGTCGGCAGGATCCGTCCAACGATCGCTATGATTTGGAAAAGATGCGATTACATTTATTGAGCTGTATTCAAGCAAAAGCTTTAATACCATTTCCTGACTATCCGGGCACTGTAACGTCACAGAAAAAGAAAGTGTATAATGTGGCTGTTTGCTGTCATTGTGGAGATTTGCTCAATCGGGCTGGAGGACAAACAGTGTTACAATGTCAGAGTTGTGCAAGATTTTGCCATACCCCTAGGGATAATAGTTTAAATTCTTGTTCTATGAAATATAATGATATGGATTTATGTGTGAGTTGTTATACTCAAATTTATAGTTGAATTGAATATGAAAAGGCATGATGTAAGTGAAAAGATGTCTTTAAATTACAAGATATAATTATATTTGTTGTGTATATACTTTTCAAATCTTTTGCCACTTCACATTAACTTTAGATATGATATCAGCTTTTAATAAGAACTTTGCCTCATGATGATTTTCATTTATAATATGTTAATGATGGAAATTAATATCACATAATCTGTAACATCATTTAAAATTTAGTATCAAAATTGACCCAAATTTTGGTTATGCTATGGTCCTTTTGGAGTAAAATACTTTAGTCGCAGAAATTTATTGAAATCTTTGAAATTTTTACTGAATATTTCTAATTTGAATAAAAGAATGTACAAACTTAACTATGTATGGAAAGCTGTCTGTAAGGGTCAAGTATAGTTTGGCCATTCGTTAAAAACTGCCAGTTTATTTAATTACACTATACAGTAAACTCCGCTTATAACGATATTCAGGGGACATACAAAACTATATCGATATATCCGAATATCGTTACAACCGAATTTCTGTACGGTGTGTAGCTTACTGACGATGCACTGCATCGTTCAACATGTATAAGCAGTAGCATTATATACTAGACATGTGACAATCATGTACTTACGACAAAACTTTATTCTTTTTATGCATATCAATGTTGAATGCATAAAAAATCAGTTGCACATCAAAATAAACACAAAACTGACATAAACCGAAAGTAATATGTACACAGGTACTGGTAACCTTACATTGGCTTAAATTTATACACTGGAAAAAAAAAACGTCAAAATTAAATTGCTTTTTTAACTATTTACACTCATGGGTAAATCTTGTTTAAGTTTTGTTCATGTACAAAGACATTCACTGTCGGAAAAAATCAGTTAATTTTGTCTGCTTTTTGGCTTTCCCTATTTCAACTGAAAATTTCTCAAGTTCATGTAAACATCCGAAAACAGAATCACACGAATCAGACTTAGAAAGAACAAAGCGTCTGCAAGTGTCTATAGCATTAAGAAACTCATTCATGGTGGGTGGGGGGTCATCAACAGTCTCAGAGTCAGCGGGTTTCAATTTTCTATCGGACTTCTGCTCAACGGAGACAACATTCTCATCGGCATTTATGTTATCATCAAAAGAAATGTTTTTGTCTATGTCACTGAATACTCTAAGGCGATTCCATTTCGATGCCAATTCAGCCAGTGGAATGTCATCGTCCTCGAACTCGTCTGTGTCAGACGAATCGGAAACATGCCCCTGCGGGGTGGCATTAATTTCATGCTGTGCTTGATTCATAAATCCAGCCTTTCTAAAACAATTCTGGATACACGTCGGTGTTACATCTTTCCATGCCGCATAAAACCATTGTATGGCTTTTAGAATGTTAATCTGTTTATCAATATGTTTGTCTAGACTCGAAATAATATGGTCAAGGACACGTGACCTGTAATGCCTTTTGAATGAAAAGATAATCCCTTGATCACAGGGCTGTAACTTAGATGTAGTGTTAGGTGGGAAAAACAACAGCTTTACAGCTTTTAATCCCTCATTTTTCTGATGGGCCGGGCAATTATCAACAAACAATAGAATAGATCTTTTCTCACGTGTCATACGTTTGTCAAGTTTTTTCACCCAACTGATAAATATTTCTGAGTTCATCCAAGCACGACGATTAGCTTCGTAATCTACCGGCAAACTTTTAACATTTTTAAAACATCTAGGATTTTTGAATTTTCAGATTATCAAAAGTTTAAGTTTATCAGAACCGTCCATATTTGCGCCGATAAGCACTGTGATTCTGTCCTTGCTTTGTTTGCCTCCAAAACATTTTGTTCCTTTTACCTCTAGTGTTTTATTTGGGGTCATTTTATAAAAAACGCCAGTTTCATCGATATTGTAGACATTTTTTGGTTCATAGTCCTTGATCAAACTTGGAAGTTTTGACTGCATCCAATTTTCAGTTTGTGAATTATCGACGGAAGCACCTTCACCGGATAATGTTTTGCTCGATATGCCATGACGATTTTTGAATCTTTCAATAAATCCGTTTGTTGCCAAAATCGTTTGCAATGTCCTGTTTTTTACGTTTACCAAGATTAATCTC